GGTTTAAACATAAATACCCTTAGTAATGAATAATATAGACTAGACTGACCATCGCTGAACGCTAGTCATCTATGCTATGATTACAATCACAAATAGCTGCCTAGTAATGCAAAGATTTCTGGGCTTATCTCATTTGCAATTTTCGCCAAGGACAAGTCTACCTAGTAGTTACTTTCCTTTAGTGGTATAATATTTTTGCAGGCGGTCCCTATTACCAGACGCTTTTACGACATGAATGCCTTGTATTGAATTTTCACCTGAACATGTGAGGGGACAAGAAGATAAGCGAATGAATGATTAATAGTTTTGCATTTTATTGTAGTAGCCGTTGCAAAATCAAAATATCTGCGATCCCAAACAAAGTACGCCGACGTCACCATTGCCATCGAGGCCCATCTGTGTACCATTTTGAATAATAATCTCCAACCTCATGGAAAAGAAATGGTTCGTCCGCATCGTGAAGTGCCATGTACAAATGCAATTGCATCAAATATTGTGTTCGTTTGGCTGCTAGAGCCGTGAAATGAATGGAAAAATTACCTGAAAGCTTACTCCGATGGGAACAAACGTGAAAAAAAAAATGCAAGAAAGTGTGAAATGCCCCCTCCCCTTCTCCCCCTACCAGTACAGCTGAGGCCAGACGCCAAATCTGTCCCTCAACATCTCCCACTGATGTAAATGCTTCTCTCTTCAATACGGACGTCTTGGGAGCGGTGTGGAGCAAGACATTTCATAGAAGAAATTGGTATCTCAAAAAACGACATTGACGCCCTTCAAGCCCAGTCCAAAACCCGATCCCAGACCGTTACAGATCCATAACAATTACACGACCATCTCCTTCCTGGTCTATGGGGGTATAATAAAACAAGTGATAAAGGAAAATTAAGTGAGTTGATTAGAAAAATAGCCTCAATTCGTATCCTTCGCTCGGGACAACGTTCTGTGTCGCCCCAGCATTGTCATTGTCTACAGTGACATCCATTTCCCATTCACGTTTGACGGGTGTTGGAGAAACCTGAACTTCCAGGATGAAGTCTTGTCCTTCGGAAAGCTCTCGTACAACATCATCGTCCATTTCGACCTGTAGACCACTGTCAAGTACACGGAGAGTGCGCATGATTTTGGTAGGCTCAATTTTCCATTTCAACGCGATGGCATCAATAAAATCTTTGAGGGTTCGTTGCATCAAGTATATAGCTCGATGGTACTCATGTTTGCCTGGCTGAGCCGTGTCTCGGCGGAGTACATAAAAGCAAGCTGCTGGCTTGACAGGTTGTTCGATTACAGGCGGATTGTAAGATGGATCAACTCCCAAAGCCTCAATCCAGCCACTTAGGCTTCCAGCGTCGCCTGACTTGGGAACCTTGGTTAGCTGATCTGGCGGACTCGCCAAATGCTGTGGGTTTTGATTTTGAAAGTCCCCCGATGGCAGGTTATGGAAATCAGTCCAAGAAGCTGAAGGGTTAGAAGCAGTTGCGCCAGCCTGAGAATGTAATGATATTGAACTTGGTGATGGGGAGATGATAGACGAGGTACCAGTCGTCGAGCTGCGTGCGCTACTTCGCGCCGCCCAAATTGCATTGTCATGGGAATCCACTTTAGTCAAGTCGAGCGGGTTCGCCGACTAAAGCTACTGGGTGGATATCGGGATCATCTTGTTCAGAATCCACGCAGGAAAAGGACGCTACTTGGTCGTGTGCTTGAGACATTTCTGACATCGCTCGTAGCTTAGAATGAAGATCCTCTTCCATAGGAACCCGTCCACCTGCAGAAGATGCAGAAGACATGGACCAGGTACGTTTATGCTTTTGAACCTTACCAGGCCGCTGCTCACTCAATTGCGCCTTTGTAGTTGAGCCTCTCTTTCGCTTCCCAAAATCTTTCATACCAGTCTCTGCCTGACTTATTTGCTGCTTTAGCTTGTCAATGGTCTTCCTGACGTGCGCAATATCGTTGGCTAATTTTCTCTCCGCTCCATGATCTCTGAAGAGCTTTACTTTGCAAAAGGCCACCTCAGAGGTCTCGCTGACGTGTGGAGAACCAGAAGGTAGCGTTTGGGTTTTCGCGCAAAATCGAACCGGGATACCCTTCACACCTTTCGAGTGGCTGAAATCAGTGGAAAGGAAGTTGAAACGAACGGCAATGTTGCACTCGGGGGCACAGTTGGGAGCTGGGGTCCAAATCACAGAAAACCCATCGAAGGAAGCCGTGTCAAGCTCCACGCGAGTACGTTTATCATCACTCTCGCCAGGCTGTGTGGATTCAACGTATTCTACAGCCTGAAGCTTTCCACCGCGTTGATGCGCCTCATTGGTACCTCTTCCTTCTTTCCATAACTGCCAGCACGAAGCAGGTCGCTGCCTCTGCTGCTCGTCTTCGAATGAGATACGAACGAATGTCCGGTAACGAGTTCCTGGTTGAAGTGGCTGAGTCAATCCAGTATCCATGACGGAGACGGAATATGCCTGTCCCTTGTTGAGATACGTGACCGGGATTTCATCGGCTTGTTTAATCATGGCCGTTGGAGCATTTAGAATGACGTGAAAACGGAATTTCTCGGTAGTTTGAGGGCCCGGTCCAGACATGGACATGCCGTACGATTGTGGCTGGAAGCTCGTCAATGGAGATTGGTGCATCGCCCGCTCCATGGTACCAAGCGGTCCTTCGTCATCATCCATAGGAGATCCGTCATGGTCCATTGTTTCGTAACCTGTATCCTGATGAACGAAGGAGGATGGCGCGAATGAGGTCTGTTGCTGGGTTTGCTGTTGATGATGGGGATGTGCAAATGGGTTAAAGTTCTGAAAATGTGGAGGCAAGTGGTGACCAAAATGGGACATGTCCATCATAGTATGAGCATGGAGGCCATCTGTAGAAGTTGGGAGTGAAAGAGGAGTTCCAAGTCCCATACCCATACCCATGCCAGGCGTGTGAAGATCTCCAGCTTGATTATGATATAGAGTATTCGCCGCTCCCGGTGTAGGTGTGTAGAAAGGTACTGGTGTTCCATTGGAAAAGGCATTGAAAGTGAAATTGTTGTCCAAAAGTGAGGGTGTGAATCGCCATGGTTCTTGCTGCGCTCTGGGTGTTGGATCTAAATCTTTTATCTCTTCACCTCCTACGCTGCGATGTCTGAATTGGTAAATGCGTTAGCCCATGTGCACGAAGAAATATAAAGCAGGAGGAATTGATGCAACCATTCCAGCTTTTACGACAGGAAATTTTGAAACCCATGCAAAATGCACATGATTGCGACGAGAATTTGAGGTAACTTGCCTGTCTGGCCCGCCCGCAGGCGCGGCTAAGTGAGTACCGTTGTTTCCAGCAGAGGTGGTTGCAGTGATAGCAATTTCTGGAAACGTTTGTCGAAAGTTGGCGATGAATTCATCACCGGGTTTTTGCGATGATGTCCTGTAAAAGAGAAGATGGTGAGCTTTGTTTTGATGGTGGTCAATGGAGCTCTCTGTACTGAGCGCAAGGTAATGCGCAGAGGCCAAAACAACCACAACAACAACAAGACGATAAATTTTCAGCTTACCGATTGCGAAACATCTGAAAGGTAGATAGAAGAGCTATTCCAAGCTCTTCCCGTTGAAGAAGTTTTGATGAGTGAGTAGAGGAGTTTCCTCCTTCGTAAAGCTTCCGTTTGATTAATACGTGGGTGGTTTGTATTGTGAATTCAGCTGAAGTAGAAGTGGAGGGGTAAGCATATGGGATTTGCTGGGAGTTCGAGTAGCGAGCGTGATGGGAATTCACGTAATGCCTAGGTATTGAGGTATCTAGATATCCAAGTGTGAAGTTCCGAACTAGAAACCTATGGATATGAATATGGAAAAGCGAAAATTGATATCTGAGGGGCGAGGGTGCGGGTGCGGAAGGGATACCAGATGCTTATATTTCGTATAAAGGCGTGTATCTAAAATGAGAAAAGCTGCGTCAGACAAGGGGAGGGCCAGGGGGGAGGGGATCATGATAGTATAGTTTTCATGGATTTTTATTATGTGAATTTGGCGATGACGGAAACTTCCTTGAGGATTACTTTTTAATCGTGATCCTCTTTTGGGAAGGAAAAGGTCTACTAGGTACACGCATGGGTCAATTTGGGTTTGTTTGTATGGATCAAACGCAGGCGAGATACAATAAATATAAAGTATAAAATAAGAGCTAGAACTAATTGCGCAATACTTGAATATATTCACTACTCACTACCTACCACTTGTTATTTATGACCTATACTAGGTACTCTACCTACTTACTCAGTACTTTATCTTCTTACCTACTTTGACTACGGTACCAGTGAATGGGAACGTGTGACTTCTTCCTGGGACGAAATCTGGCATCTAGGCGCTCCCCGACACATATTAACACTTTCTCGATATGGATGAATCTACTGCGCTAGCTAAGCAGAATCTACTAATTCTAACTAACTCTGCTGACTCTGCTAACTCTACTAACTCTACACGAATGGATCTCAAGCTAAAACTAGTCTACTGGTAGTTACTAGTCAGTCTAGAGATCTACTTTCCTAGTATTGGGCTCTAGGAAACAACGGCAAAGATAAAAATCGATATCTACTGATGCTACTCGAATCAACTTCAAGTCATTTCATCCTCGTTCTCATATTATGCATCTCTGCCAAACAAAGCAGCAACAAAGCATCCATCGTACCCAAGCAAACCCAAGTAAGAGGTACCACGAATGAAATGTGTGTATTGGTTGCGATAACATCATCGGTGGACCCATAGATATTATTGCTACTATTATTTCCGCTATTCCTTGTCGTTTTTCTCAGTGACAATCCCCTAATTGCTCACTCCTCCTCCTGCTGGGATTCTCATATGCGAATTATTATTTAATTGTTATTCTTACCTGGGCAGGCTGGACGGACTGCTGGGGGAGGGATGAAAGGATGAGGGATGGCTGAAGAAAGTTCTTCCTACATACGGAAGTCTTACCCTAATGAGACCTCGGACGTGGAGAGACAAGAAATTCTCGATTCTCAGTGTCAAAGCGGCATCAGAAAATTCACATCATCAGCCACACCCCATCTCAAACAATTAAAGAAATGATCAACACTAACAATAAACTCGCGACATATCTCATATTGTGGCGAAAGATTCGTCCTCCATCCATTTATCGAGTGAATTGCAAATGTTTTACTTTTTTCACTCTTCTTTCTCTGGATTCTGGATGCTGGATGCTGAAGTGTCAAGTAACACTGGCTTATGCTTGCTAAGCTGAAGGCCTGCTGAGATCAAGACCACTTACGGATAATGGATCATGAAATATTTCACGGGACGTCTTTTTCCATCCCGATTGATAACAAGGACTAAACTCGATTCTGCTCCATCTCCGCTACATATCATACAAGCTACATACAAACAAATGGAGCAATTATATATTTTCCGATCTACTAAACATGAAAAGAGCGTCTTTGTATCGAAATCTGGAGAGATATCTACTTTTGGAGATGGCCCCCTTTTTCACCCTTTGATTTTCACCCTAACGAGCTCCTGGAACCGTTAGGTTACCACCAGATAGATCTATTTTGCCTAGACACACATAACCCTCATGTTGCTTACTCTCATCTCATTTTACCGTTTACTCTCATCACCATACAAACAGTAAAATTGCTGTTATTGATCGGATACTGTTCCCGAGTATCTAACTAGCATGCTATTGCGAATCACTGTCTTAATAAATTGACAAGTCCAACAGGTCCTTTAATCTCATGAAATTGGGGATTGAAAAGTTCGGGGCCCAGGGGCTCTAGATTCTTAGTGCGTTGCATACCATATTTGGGTGCCACTTTGGTCATTTCAGGCTGCGCGGGGAATTTTTCTTCCCTTGTCTTCCATTTGTGGCGCCGAACAAACAATCCCATCAAATCTCTTTTTGTGTTCTTCGTGCGACATTCTACCGGTCCCAATCATTTTTCAGTTTGAATTATTCCAGATGATCACAAACTCTTCCATTGCGTCGTTGCATAGCCACAGCCACGATCTCAAGAAGAATGTCACAAAGGAACTCTTTAGCGAGCCGTACAAGCCACAGTAGATCAGCGAGAAGGTTTTGGAATTATACGGAGACTACTCCGTGGAGGCGTTGTGGCGGATCCATCAACCTATCGCACCGGAGATGAAGCGCAAGCTTCATGCTTTGTGATCTGGACTATAGTGTGATCTCCGGAAATATGGTCCAATGGTACTACGAAGTCTGCATCTTTGCGATTCCATCATGCATATTAGGTTTGATGCTGATATAGGAGAAGCATATTCCGGTGTTAAACAAACCACCGAACTTTTGCTGTCTTGGCCATCCACTCCGAAGAATTCTCACCAAGCTCTTAACAGATGTTGCATACTGTGTCGTGTCACCTGCCGCGATTTTATCTTTTCTCCATACGTTCATATGCTTCAGAGCCCAGGCTTCGCTGCATACAGCATTACCCTAGCAACTATCTGCTGCTAGGTGTCTAACGGGAAATGGAGGTGTTTCGATCATCCTAGAATAGAGGCCCCTTGAGCTCTCATAGGCTGATCAAACATCTGAAAGCTCAATCAAATGCCTAGTCTGCTGCAATTGAATGGATTTCGCTACTTCTTATTCGTCTATAACGAACAACAGCCGGTAATACCGACATTCATTTGTTCTTGAGCACACAGCCACACAATCGTCACAAGCATGTCTTCTCGGACAAAAGCCATCGTCGAGCCACTGTGGCGTAAAGGCTGGTGCAGCCGATTTCCCACACTTTCCCCTTGGTCTGTGGGATGCCAAAGTTTTGCGGCTCGTCTTTCACCTATTATCACAACCCCTCACACAATTAATACCCTCGAATATTGCGTCTTCCTTGTCTTCCCTTGCTGCATCTAATGCCTTTTCTGACTTTTGCTCCTTCCTCATAGGTTCATCGCTCCCTTATCAAAGTCTTAAGTGGTTAATTAACGTTTTTTCATCTCCGTTTAAACACTAGCTCAATTTCCATCCGCCTTTAGCTTGGTTGCCGGGCATAGATGGCGAGCGCAAAAACGCGTGGAAGGGTAGATAGCTGCATTTGCATGAAAGGAATTCACATCTAACCTACATTAGACGGCAACGTGATGAATTCCACTAGCACGGCTTGATTAGATTACGAAGACATGTATCTGATGGGTGATCTTATTTGCGAGGTGCTTTCGCTGCCTTGGGAGTCGGTATACTTTCTCGACTGTCCAATTTTTCGAAGTCTCCATAAAGAAGAATGATTCTGCCATTTTATGTTGGCGGATTACTTACTACATGCTCTTGCAATTCGAAGTCATTTTCAGATATGCATGGTAGCATGGTAGCCCGGAGCTGCTCGATTAGCAGGTGTATGATTGTATAAAACACGAAGGCATCTTTTGGCAATCTCGATGCAGCTCTCGCCAAAGAACCGAGCCGTGGAACCTTCGCGAAAAGATTTCAGCCCCCATCTTATTCCCTTCCTGCGAAATGAGTTGTTCACTCTAGGAGCAGTGTCAGTACTGAATCTAGTCGATAAAGTGTCAAGTGATCGAGAACAATGCACATGAAGCCATCACGGTACACCGCTGGTGACAGTGGAGAGAAAAGTTTCAGCCACAGGCCGCATTAATGATTACTTGCCCTATGGCGGTGGAGACTCGAACTTATCTCGGCATCTAGAATAGTCGAGTCTTGAATATTTTCTCCAGATAAAAAATGTTCCGCTGTCATTTGCTGCAAACTAATTCTGCAAAAGTTGAATTGCCACGTTGAAAATAGCATCACCGTTACCGATACACGACGCAAAAGGTTCGTAATCATCAGCCATCAAGCATCGGATCATCCTTCGTCACGGGCGTGATGATATAGCAAAATGGATATTCTATCAGTGAAAAATTCCACTTGAACCAAAGTTTTCTTCATTTTTTCATCTTAATTGCGTGTCTTTTTTAATTCGTGTATAACTGATCTCCGCCTTCAAATTCCTCAATAAGGGAGGATTTTCATAAGTTCTCATCCGATGTTCCGCACAGTTTTTAATTTTCCGAGTTGAAGCCCATACAAATGACGTCAATGATGCTTGTATGATGGGGAACCTTTGCAAGCCACCCCTTCCCCCAAGAAAAACCTTTGAGAAAATGGGTTTGAACAAGGGTGGTATAGTCAGTATCATTTTGGTCTTTTTTTTTTTTTTCTCTTTTTCTCTTTTTTTCTTTTTTTCCTTTTTTCCTTTTCTTTTTTCTTCATTTTTCCTCATTTTTCTTCTTTTTTGGCAAAGATCTTTTATCTTTTAGCCGATTACTCCTTGAAGTCTCGAAGTCTTAATCCCTATTAGTCGTGTTTCTTCCATTTATTAAAATCCAATAAGCGTGGAGATCAAATCTAGTAAGCCTTTACCTAATGCACCATCTCTATCCGTGTGAATTCGATTCCTAGTTACAGATATGTATGCTGCTGTATCATGTATGCTTCGACGAATATTCTACTGCAAATACCTGGCAGCGTTTTGGTTGTAAGACCTGGATGGCCCTACCGCCTTACCGGGACCCTTATCAACGTTTTTTTTAATCTGTCATCAATTGTGATCGACCCGATAGAACTCTATTTCAAACCTTCTTAGCCCATCAAGTAGGATCTTGCATGTACCATCGATGGTTCAGTGGTTACTAAGCCAGCGAACTCAAAATCAGAGTTTCAAACACAATGGGAATGATGAACGTCGCTGTCGTCATTCGGCAACACTGCAGGTACGAGGACTGTACACGGTCGGAACTTCGGCACAATTGGCTGGGTTGCATGCATTTACATACCAAAATTTGGTTCTTGGCACAAGTTTGCATAGGAAAGCCTATCGAATGATTTGCACACAATGCTCACGGACAAGCCTTCATATCGTATGATGCCTAATTTAAATGCTTGGGAGTCGGCGCTCGGGTTAGGAAAGAACTCTTCTCCTTGAAGTCAGACATTGGTTTGGTACACGTGCTCGGGCTCCCCGGTGTGGGGATTTTCTGCGGGAGCTGTTTGGGTTTTGGTTTCTGCGAGAGGTCTGAAACGGAAACACGGTTCGTTTGGTGTGATTGGAGGAAATGCAATGTCTTTTCTATCGCCCCTTTGGCCATGTAGTCACTAGGAGGCCCGTTCCGCGACCCGGTCTAGTCCAGCCGGAACTCATTAGGATTTTGTCTAGACACTCAGAGCGCGCGCTTATTTTGATCGCGAGTTTATACGCTTTTTAGATGGATGTCTTCATATTGCACAGGATGATATGCATATATTCAAGATGCAATTTGTCGAATTGGATATGCTTGTCCTCATCGAGGCTGGACCGCCTGCAAGTCGGAGCCTATGTAGATGATTGGGAGCTAAATATAGTCGGTAATTAGTCCGATATTACTTTGTGCCACCTGGCTTGTCTTCTCCCAAGAGTTCCTATAGGTCGGATTACGGTCCATTAAGAACGGATAACTCACAAAACACTTTGAATCTTTGAGGATGGTTTGTCCACTCCAATGAACTCAATTTCAGATGAATCACATATATCAGAGGAGTTATGGAAGCAGGAATCTCTCATTCTCGGACCGCAGTCTAGACCATTGGGACTCGGGAGTCATTCATCCTCTCTTCACCATCACTAGACATAAGACGTATTATATTATAACCTTATCTTTTTCCTTCTTTCAATGCATCTACACCATTTTTATCAGCCGCCTGATGCCAGGTTCATGCTACGATTACGATACTTCAGTACACAATACGGCTCTGATCACGACGGATTCGAGAATACATGAGGTAGTAAGTAGCCAAGTGTTTTATATTGTCTGTCATCTTTTCTCTATGTACAAGTTGGAAAGGCCTTCCAAGTAACAGGATCAATCTTTTTTTTCCGGCGGAAGAGCCTATGTAAGAGCCACCACGCAAAGAGGCCCCGACTGAGGAGGTCAAGGTTCTCCTTGTTGCCTTTTTGGCGTGCCTTCGTTCAGTTTGAATGCACATATTCCACCCAAGTTTAAAGCATATGGAGCTCGCTGGTTCACCTGCGAGTAGGCTCTCCAGTGATATCGGCTCAAGGCATTTTAGGAAGCTTCTCTATTAACTACACAGAAGGGGCATTGATATGACCAGAGAACCTTGAATATATCATTCTTATCACAGAATTTTTCCGCAGCCCTACGCGTGATTCAAACCTAAGGGGAAAGGAAATGCAGGAGAGCTATTTAACACAATTTACTTTGTCGGTATTAGGTGGTGGTTTTAACTAGACAGTACAAATTTGCTTTACTCTGTAATACCAGGGAGTTCAAAATCTCGACAGATATCTCGGGAGCATTCTAACATATGTAATTGTGGTTTGATATACTCGGAGAAGGAGACGGGAGGCCGGCAAATCATAATGCTTTGGGAAATTTTGGATAGCAAGGCAGCTGGATATGGGAGTAATGATTATGTAGATACATTGTAGATACTCTAAAAACTTTTAATCATAATCAACTAAAATTTGAACAGATCTCACAATCAACTGGACCAAATTGTGATATTCAGATCTCATTATCAGCTAGGAAAATAACCGAGCGGGAGTCATTGCGTACGGGAACAAAGTTAAATCTAATATCTTCGATGATTTTGGTTTCAATTTCGCACGGTTGTTCACATTTTGCAGCTGGCCAGTTGATAATAAACACCTTAAAATCATATCAATATGTTTTTTTTAACTTCATGAATTCTTGATATTTGATCTGAAATTGATCAATTTCGAATGGCAGTTTTGCAGTTTGCAGCTGAATTACACGATTAGTCAAGTGCACTCTCCAAGCTCAATTTACCCTATCGGCTTCTTATCGTCAGCCCCTAAACGTCACTACAGAACTGTACCAAGGACCTCTCAGCATCATCATAGGCCACATTACTGTACAACAACCAACCAACCTTAAACACTTAAATTTCGAAGTCACTTCAACTTTCCACTTTCTCCTTTATCTGTTGCTCGTTATACCACATATACGATCTTCAATCATCATTTTAGTCTGTATCTTCAAATATGGCATCTGCATCCTCGGGATCCTCTGCTCTTAACCCTTCGCCCGCTGCATCGACGAGCCCTTCCACTGCTTCCGAGTCGTTACCTACCACCTCTACCGCAGCAGAGAAACCACCAGATGATGGCTCGAAACTTAAGATGTTCTTGGGAATTTTGCGAAAGTAAGTCTTTCTACTTCTCGCATCTGTCTTTGAAGATGTGGAAAGAAAAAACACACCGCTATCAACAAGGGGCAATGCGACGAACTGTGGTTACAGCCTCTGAAGCAACTTCAACGCCTTCCGCAGAGGCGTCTAGGTCTCAGATGATAAATGACTGACATTGTTTTCTCTATTTACACAGGTTTATTGGAGTGGCAGATATTGCTTCCGTTCGATTTAGTTTGCCGGCCCAGCTATTAGAACCAACTCCCAATCTCGAGTATTGGAATTACCTCGATCAACCGAATACATTTGTGGCAATAGGAGACTCGGACGATCCATTAGATAGAATGCTAGAAGTCTTGAGATTTTGGTTTACGAAGGATTTAAAATATGTCAAAGGAAAGCCTTGCAAACCATATAATTCTACCCTTGGGGAATTTTTCAGGGTAAGCAGTTGCATCTAAAATGGCAAGATCGTAGTGGGGAATACTGATCTTTGAATAGTGTAATTGGGAAGTTGAGGATTCACAACCGGCTATAGAGACGATCAAATTGAGTCCAAGTGCTTCGTCTTCGAAAAAGAACACTCCTATGTCATCAACAAATGCGTCCAATGTTACAATTCCTAAGCCAAAACCCTCCGGTAAAAAAGTTCGAGTATCTTACTTAACGGAACAAACTTCGCATCATCCACCGGTCTCCGCATTTTATGTCGATTGTCCGGAGAAGGGTATTTCAGCTAGAGGGTTCGATCAACTATCAGCGAAGTTCACTGGAACGAGTATCAAGGTTACACCAGGGGAGCACAATTTGGGTATCTTCATTAATATTGAGAGGAGGGACAATGAGCAGTATCAACTCACACACCCAGCTGCTCATCTTGGGGGGCTTTTACGTGGAACTTTGAGTGTTACCGTGGGAGACCAGTGCTATATAACCTGCACTCAGACTAAGATTAAGACGATTTTGCATTATGTTGAAGAAGGATGGTTAGGAAAGACGCAAAATAAAGTGGAGGGAGTAGTGTTCCGCTACGATCCGGACAATGATAATAAAACTAGGATAAAAGATGTCCCTGATAAGGATGTATTGGCAAGAATATCTGGAAACTGGAAGGACAAGCTATACTTCACTTTGGGGCCAAAGGGCGTAAGTGTTGTTTTATGCATTCAGATGATAAGTGCTAATTTAACACTACTAGGACAATCCAATTCTTTTAATAGATCTCATGCCGCTTCAAGTAGCACCGAAGATTATTCCTCCAACAGAGAAACAGCTACCCAATGAATCGCTCAAATTCTGGTCGGGCGTTACCGAAGCTATTAACTCTCGACAATTTTCCCGAGCGACAGCCATTAAACAAGAATTAGAAGAAAGGCAGAGAGAGAAGGCTAAAGAGCGACAGGATCAAGGGGTTGAATGGCAACCGAGATTTTTCACAGGATCTGTTACACCATTAGGTAAACCGGATTTGACAGATGATGGAAAGGAGGTTCTACATATGTTACAACAGGGAGAATGGGATTTGAAGGAGAGTGAAGTTACTGGAGCTTAGAATTCGTTTTTAAAGATGCATTTCCTCATGAAGGATTTCTTTCCGGTCTTTGGATGATACCGATACATTTGTTGATACATGATATATACATACATACATTGCATTATATTATATTATATTATATTACAATATATTATATAAATGAAGAAATGCTGGAAATGATCCCAGTTAAGGTGGTGTGGATATGAAATGGTGGTTTGTGTGTTGTTATTCTTTTAGTGGTTGATTCTGTTGATTTTGTTGATTGATTGATTTATCCTACTAGGTCCCTTTTTTCTTTTTCTAGTACTTAGGGTTGGGTTTTTTTTTTGCGTATGTAGATGTAGATATAGATGTAGATATAAACTGACCCTTTATTTATAATCTATAGGGATGATAGAATAGTAGAGAGAGGAAGTAGAGAGAAAGGAGAAGGGAGAAGGGAGAAGGGAAGAGAGGGAAAGGGAAGGAAAGGGAAGGAAAGGGAAGGAGAGAAGAGACATTTGACATAGAGCGAAGGGAAGGGAAGGGAAGGGAAGAATTGGAGGAATGGAGGAAT